TTTTTGCCGGCTTCAACCCCTGTGTCTGGAGCTGCTCCGGGGGGAGGTCTGAGCCACTTCACGGAGTGGGATGCTGCCTCCATCCTGGCCCCACTGCCCGGGGAGGTTTGGGGGTCCGACGGGTGGGATTTCCTTTACTGGTGCCGTGGTTTCTTTTCCAGAGCTGCTCAGGGCAGCCCTGAACGACCCTGGCTCGGTGCGGACGTCGCAGGTGAGCTGGGATGTGGGGGATCCCATGGGATGCACCCATCCGGGATGGGGCACCTGGGTACACGGAGCACCCCAAAAGCTGGGTGCAGCGGTGCCGACCACACTCTCCCGTCATGTAGGTGGTGCAGTATGAGCTGGGCTACGTTGTCTGTGCCGTCGTGGCTCTGCTCTTCACCGTGGCTGTGCCGGTGGCCGGGATGTGCTTCTGCTACTGCCGGAGCCGCCGGCGGTGCGGAGGACGCCTGCGTGCCCACCGGCGCTCACTGGGCTGCCGCCGCCACTGCCTGCTGGTCTCCCTGTCCCTCACCTCCCTTGTCATCCTGTAAGTCCCCAAAACACCCCATGAACTGTCCCCCTCGCCCCGGGAGGGGGAACAGTGTCCCATGGGGATGGGACGGCTCTGCCGGGCAGCCCCGTCACTGCCTGCTCGTCCCTGGCAGGACCAGCGTCGTCTGTGCCTTTGTCACCAGCCAGCGGGTGAGAGGGCAGATGGAGCCGGGGCTGGGGGCCGTGCCGGCCACTCTGCGTACCCTGCGGCAGCACATCGCCAACATCCCCCAGGTGGGTCCCCCAAGCGGCTTCCCCCGGCGCAGGGTGCAGCCCAGGGATGGTTGCATTTCCCTCACAGAGTAGTTTGGGAGGCAAGAAGGTGGTGGCCGCATTAAAAATGTATTTTGAATGGCAACACCAGGCTTCCTCCCCTCCCGGCTGCTGCTACCCCTGGCTGACCAGCTTCTCTCTCCTGGCAGGGGGTACAGATGGTGGTAGACCAGTTCGAGGTGCCCCGACAGCAGATAATCTCCGACTTGGGTGGTAAGCACCGAGCCGGGCACTGGTGGGCACTATCCTGAGCTTCCCAGTGGTGTGAGATGCCAACGGGGTGCCCCGATGCCTTGCAGGGCTCAGCCGGAGCGTGGGACTCTCCATCCACACACAGCTGAAGGCGATGACCTACGCAGCGCTGGCAGACCTGCAGGACAGGGCTGGAGGTATGGCCGAGCGCGGCTCTCCCCGGGGTCAGCGCCAAAGCCTCGCCGGAGAGCTGGGGCGGCTAAGCGGAGCAGCGTGAACTAGCCCGGGGCTTTCTCTTTAAGACCTACAGACCTCGCTGCACCATTTACAGATTCTCGACAAGACGGTGCGGGCGCTGGCATCGGCGCGGGCCGAGCTGGAGCCGGTGCTGCGGGAACGGCGTCAGCGTGTGGTCGCGCTGCTGGATGACCCCCGCTGCACCTCCTGCGCCAGCGTCCTGGGCAGCGCACAGGGCCTGGAGCTGGGCGCCGACTACAGCAAGGTGGGACGGGGTGATGGTCCCCCACCATCGCCACCCCTCCGGCAGCCCCGAGGCTCACGGGTTGCTTCTTCCACCTCCAGGTGCCGTCGGTGGAGAAGGTTTTGAAGGCGCTGGCTGGTCTGCCCCGAAGTGACTTTGCAGAGATGATTCGCCAGGTTGGGGGGGGGCGGTCAGGGTGCAGTGGGAGGCTCTGGCACCCACAGGCAGACCTGGCTCAGCACCCCCTCTTTCCTTGCAGGGCAATGGCACCTTCAACTCCATCCCAGAGCTGGCCGTGGAGAGGATGGCACAGGTCATCCAGGGTGAGTAGGACAGCCGGACTGAGCAGGGACACCCTCTGTGGGGCAAATCCCTATTTGGGGACATAGGGTGGGACACAAGGACCATCCACCCCTCCAGCATGGCCTTGGCCCCGCAGATCTGCAGGACGAGATGGCCCGCATGACCGAAAAGGTGCAGTCCATCGCCAACAGCTTCCCCCTCCCTGACTACACCCGGCCCGTCAGCGAAGCCCTGGTGAAGGCAGAGGACAGGAGCCAGCCATACCTCCGGGAGGTGGAGCGCTTCGAGCGGTACAGGTGACACCAGGGAGCACGAAGGGGTGCAGGGGGTGCAGCAGAGATGGGTACTGAGCCCCTCTCCAAGCTCCGGCTGGTGCATCAGCCCCATATCTTAAGGTCGTGCCCTGCTGCTCTTTCCTCCAGGTGGATCGCAGGCACGGTGCTGTGCTCCATCGTCCTCCTCATCCTCGCCTGCAATGTGACAGGGATGGCCCTGGGGGCATATGGACTCTCCAAGCGGGAAGACCCCAGCGACTACGAGTGCCGAGGAGAAGCTGGCGCCAAGTTTCTCCTGGTGTAAGCATCTCTCTGAGTGCTGGGGGGGAGGCTGTTGCCACCTCACACCCCCCAAAAAAAACAGAGGGGCAAAGCCAAGGGAGGGACTGGGAGCGGGATGAGCGGAAAGGCTTTTGAAGCCGCCGCCTGCGCCGGCGGGTTTGGGAGAAGCTGCTCCTCCCTGGGAGCTGGCAGCTCCTGCACCCCAACCCCGCTGCCCGGCACACCCCGCTCCTGCGGGCCCTTCCCAGGCAGGCTGGCGTGCCCGGGCGCAGGAGGGAGCCGCGGGGGCTGCAGCCGGCCGGGCAGGTCCCCGCAAGTCTTTCTGCTCGCTCGGGTCTGCAAAGCTGCCGCCGGCACCTCCTCTCCCTCTTTCAGCGGCGTGGGCCTGGCTTTCCTGTTCTCCTGGCTTCTCATCCTCCTGGTTTTCGCCACCTTCCTGGTTGGGG